GATCACACCCAATGTGACATTAAATGAGCACAGGCTGGACTTAATAGGAACTGTGCCCTGTGCCTGGTGCACACTGCCCATGTTGAATGTTGCCCATGGTAGACATTGGGTGCCGTCCATACATGATGTCACGCGATTTTGGACGATGTTTTAACCCCCCCCCTCGTCACACGGCGTCACAAAAAGTCAGACCCCCCTCAGATATGACGTCACAAAGCTCTGCCCCCCCCCCCCCAAAAAAACATGCTTCAAATCGCTTTAAACTATTGTCATTGTAGTGCGTATTTAATGTGCCGCTGCACTCTGATGTTGTAGGAGAAAACATTTATTAAAAAGTCTATTTAATTAAGTAGAAAGTGTTTATTTATTTTAAGTTGCGCATTTTGATGTGACGCCACATTTCTCACCCCCCCCCCCCCTCGTCACACATCGTCACAAATGTCTGACCCCCCCCCCCCCCAGGTGCGTGACGTCATTTATGGACGGCCCCTTGGTAGCGATTGCCACCCCAGGTGGTGTCGACCAATCCTCTCGACCATTATGAGGTGCAGAGTTGGCCCGCCTCCAGCACCGGCATCTAACGTTGAACATCGATTCTCATTGGCCAAGCACCACCTTAAGCCTTGGTCACCGCATGCTTGGCAGGGCTGTCCAACACGATGGATTGTTGTTGTTTGGTTGTTGTTGTTGTTGGTTGTCTTTTCCCCGTGCGAATTTATCACAAACAATTAAAAATAACCGTGAATTATGATTTTTGTTCACGTGTGCTGTCCGTTTGCGATCGTTGTGTAAACACTGTGATCTTGCCTTGTGTGCTCTTGTTGCCGTGTAAATACTGTTGGTGCATCTGTTGTTATTACAGTTTTATGATTCATTTTACAAGGCCGCTTGTGTTGATTCTCCGCACGCGTGCACCTGCACACAGCCCTCTGTAGGTCCACTGCCTGATGGTTAAATAGCCCCCCCCGCGCCGCGACCCACACACGCAATGTTGTGGATCATGGGGGCAGGGGGGCTTTTTGACCATACTTCATCATGCTAGTTGTGGGAGCATAGAAGTACATTAAAAACAGATGGGGACCGCTGTGAGCGGAGCTAATGGTGTGATGGATGAAGGAAGGTCCGGATACGTGATATCAGGAGCATTCTTGCCAGTCCATGCAGAAGTAGCAGTTGCTTGAGTGATCGGTGGGTTCTCGCCAAATTCATTTATTTCACCCATGACTAATGTGTCAGAGATTATCGCAACATTTCTCATTTATATATTTTTCCAATAACATTGAAAATTGTAAAAAAATTAAAATTAAAAACTTGTACAAATCTTTTTTTTTTTTACTAATTTTATAACATAAAATTCCGAGCAACAATTGTCCATCTTACCTTCCAGAATGTTTTTTGCATTGATCGCAGGTGAAATGAAGTGCCCAGGGTTTGTCTTGATCCCTGACAGGCATGCCGAAATATGCCTTGTAGGCCTCACACATCTTCGCAGATGCTTCCACAGAGTACTTTTTCGCTCTTGTCTTGATACATTGACCACAGACATCGCAAAATACGTCTGCCGGATGCTTGTAGCCTATTGATACATGTCATAAAAATGCAGATATGTATCTACTTAGGCAGCTGGAACTAAACTGAACTGGTGAGCTTAAGGCCCCTGTATTTATACTACTATTTACATTACTGGAGAGTTCTAAATGTTCAAGTTTACTCGGCACTGAATGTATCCGGAATGTTCTGGAATATAGGTAAATTTCTAAATATCACTGTTCTGGTCATAAAAGCAAAGTTTGTGGGGAATAATAGCCATTTTCTGTACTTTTGAGGCATAAGCAATTAGGAAAGAACACTACCCAGGAACAAAAAAAATTGTTACACTGTAATTATTGTCAACAATACTCACTAATAATAATTATCATTGCCACTTGTAACACGCCGCAGTCACAGTATCCACTCGCCCTCGAAGGGAGAGAACTACTCAAGAGGCGAGAGAACGAATCACGGGTGAGGCTGCAACTCCGTGGCGAGCTGGTGCCAATTTTCCAAAGCTCTGCGGTCCTTTACATATGGAAGGCGTTATCAGCCAATTGATGTGTTTTGTAAAGTGTTAGAGGAAACCCACGCGTGCGCAGGGGGAACACTCGATCCCAGTTTAACACGTAGGCTTTCGTGACCAATGTCATCCAGAATAAAGATGTTTTGGGTTAGATCGCGTAAATATATAAATGTGTCGTTGAACCTGCCACCACCACCCGAAAGCCAATTAATAAGGTTTGTCACGTAAACAGAACATGCCAATTCGTTACTAGTACAGCACACAATGCATTTAAGCAATACTTCAATTTGGGATTACCGTTGGTACGGTTATTTTAGTGTATACAATCGACAGGAAGTACAACAACAATGAGCTTTCATGATGTGCATGCATAATGTACGTTGATTAAAATAAATAACCCAGACGGCAATGGATAACCATAGTTATACACATACCAATGGATGACAGTATTGCCCAGGTCGATGTAGCTCTTAAGGGTTTGGGACACATCGCTGCAGACGTGACAAGATCTGAAATCACTGCAACCCTCAAAAGCGCTAAGATACCAGTCAGTAACATCAGTAAGGATGAGCGTTTTGAGTTATCTCAATTTAAAAAGAGGGATGATATCGTCATCCTCACAGCCGACAAGGGCAATGCCACGGTCATCATGGACAAAACCGTGTACAATAAAATTGAGGACCTACTTAATGATGGTAGCTACCCAAAATTTTAAAGAGATCCCACCAACAGCCTCGTTACAAAAACGAACAGTATCATCACTAATTCAGCTTCATTGATTGAACAGACCAAACGGTTTTCCTTAAAACCTTCTGCTGCTAAACCACCCAGATTATATGGCTTACCAACAATCCACAAAGAAGGTCTCCACCACTGGCTCACCCGCCTACAAACTGCCCGATAGTTGCCTGAGACCATGCAGCCATTCACTGGCAAGACCGCCTCTTCTTTTCTTAACTCCGCTCACCTGGTATCATCAATTAAAGACATCTCACTGTCCCCAGGTGATTTGCTCGTTAGTTTCAATGTTTCTTTGTTCACCAAAGTTCCTGTGCCCGATACCATTGCCATCATTGAAGATTTGGTCCAACAAGGATTGAATGTACCGGCCCTGGTGAGACTGCCTCACCAATACATATTTCACCTGGAATGGGACATTCTACAAACTGAAGGCACCCCAATGGGTTATTTTCCTTGAAAATATTGGCTACAACCAACATTTGTGCGGCGATCCACGGAGCCCTCGCTGCTGTCTCCACGTCGCTGGGATTGCAGGCGGCCAAGCCCGGCCAAGATCTTGGCGGCAGCGTTCGTAGCAGGAGGCTGTCGCGCCCCGATTCTTTGGGTCTTTCGGTAAAGTCACACAGATCGTTCACGAAAGTCACGAAAGCTTGAGGTCAAGATGTTTGTCACGCCCCTGTTGGAGGATGTGGTAACTCCAGGTGCTCACAGCACACAGCACGGGTCTGCAACCTGCCACCCCATGTGGCTCTTTAAGAACCACCGCCGTCTCGTTTTCACCATACTGGGGGGATTTTTGTTCCACCGATTTCGAAAAACAATGGCTCTCATTGTTGTATCGGTTGACGCCCCCTGTGCGAGAACGAGCGGCGGACGTCGAAATGGTTCCGCGTTTGTGATCGAGGCGCGCGGCGTCACCCGTCAGCTGTTCCTAAGATCGCTCACGGGATGGTCGTGCGTGCGTTCACGCGTGCGTCCATCGGTGTGTCAGCTTTCCCGTGGGTGGGGCTAGTGAGGGGCCTGTAGCATGTGACGTTATAAAGGTGCCCTAAATAAAAAAACATAAATATTAAAGCACCGATTTTTTTACTTGCATGGTAAATTAATTATATTTTTTAATTTGCTATACAGCCAGATAATACGGCAAATCGCTAACCTTAAACACCCAGTCGTTCATAAAAGTTGAAGGCGGTATAGTACTAAAGTAATCGAGCGAGTGCAGAATCACTGAACCGGAATTGGTAGCTTGAAAGCATTTAGCGCAGGCCCTTGAATGTTCTAGGCCCGTAGCTACATATGTAGCAGCTACATATAACTAAACACAAAAAGCAGTTCTAACGAAATGAGTTTGTCAATTTAGATGATGATTTACAAGATCATAGCTCCAGGGGCTTCCTAATGTCGAAATGAAGAGCGTCCCAGAATGATGCAGAAGCGCATCTGGAAGCGTACATTGCAGTGCGAGTCCGTGGGTCTCTGTGTGAGTCTATGGATCTCTGTGTGAGTCTATGGGTCTCTGTGTGAGTCTATGGATCTCTGTGTGAGTCTATGGATCTCTGTGTGAGTCTATGGATCTCTGTGAGTCTATGGGTTTCTGTGTGAGTCTGTGGGACTCTGTGTGAGTCTATGGGTCTCTGTGTAAGTCTATGGGTCTCTGTGTGAGTCTGTGGGTCTCTGTGTGAGTCTATGGGTCTCTGTGTGAGTCTATGGGTCTCTGTGTGAGTCTATGGATCTCTGTGTGAGTCTATGGATCTCTGTGTGAGTCTATGGATCTCTGTGAGTCTATGGGTTTCTGTGTGAGTCTGTGGGACTCTGTGTGAGTCTATGGGTCTCTGTGTAAGTCTATGGGTCTCTGTGTGAGTCTGTGGGTCTCTGTGTGAGTCTATGGGTCTCTGTGTGAGTCTATGGGTCTCTGTGTGAGTCTGTGGGTCTCTGTTTGAGTCTGTGGGTCTCTGTGTGAGTCTATGGATCTCTGTGTGAGTCTATGGGTCTCTGTGCGAGTCAGTGGATATCTGTTGAGTCTGTGGGTCTCTGTGTGAGACGTGGGTCTCTGTTGAGTCTGTGGGTCTCTGTTGAGTCTATGGGTCTCTGTGTGAGGCATGGGTTTCTGTGTATGTTGTACTTTGTTGTTGAACCTCATGTAGCCAACAGTGCAAATCGGTGGTGCAAAAGCAGAGATCTCACCAAGAAGAAACGTCTCCAACCTTTGATTTAATCACAATCAGAATATTTATTTATACTGCAGGAATCCGAAGAGCTATACATCTCTTCTTCACAGATGTCCAGTAGGGGCATGGGGTCAGAACGTTACAACAACAAACGATACAACAAACACGATAGGAGTGCAAAGTGTAGGAAAGGTAACAAAATGATAAAAAACATTTTAAAAAATACTTTGTTATTTTACCATATGAAGCCCATTGAGCTATTAGCTTATTTTTCAACAGCAACTTGGCCACAAATGATAGCTCAACAAAGTCGCTCATGTGGAAATGTATATCAGCCAAATAATCTAAATAATAAATACGCGTGTTTAAATTATTTAGATTTTTAAAAAATGCCGATGTCCAGAATAAACACTTCCTGGCTGTCAAAAAGTCTGGAGGTGATATTACGACAGGTTAATTGTTGAGATATTCGGTCTGAAAATCAATCGTCGTTGAGCAATCGGTTGCAGATACGTCCACATGTATGCAGTTCAGTTGCATGCAACCAAGTTGATTGCTCAGACGTGGGCTCTGCGTAGGCTTCTGTGTGCGGTATGCGAAGGCATAAAGTGGCCCCAAGGTTCTGATCGTGTTTTCAGTTTGAAGCAAGCAAAACAAACTAAGCCTCATCAACAAAGTATCCACTCTACATCAGCGCCTACTTTCAAATACACGTTTTTAATGATTTCATGAAAATACAAATCTTAACCATCTTGTATTTGTATCGCGACAAGACAGATACAACGTGTACTCTCACAGTAAACAGTGGATCGCCGCAATGTGTCGTCAGGGAATGGGCCGTGGAAGAGGTCCTCACGGAACTACTTGTGATGGGGGTGATGATGCACACTTAGCACGCAATGGTGGATAGATCACGGCTGACGACGACGACGACGATGACGACGGTGGCCCTAGTACTCTTCGCACTCTTCTCCGTCCCCGTCGGCGTAGTCGACGCCCACCTCCTCGTAGTCTTTCTCCAGTGCAGCCATGTCCTCGCGAGCCTCCGCGAACTCGCCCTCCTCCATGCCCTCGCCCACGTACCAGTGAACGAAGGCGCGCTTGGCGTACATGAGGTCGAACTTGTGGTCCAGGCGGGCCCAAGCCTCGGCAATGGCCGTGGTGTTGCTCAGCATGCACACTGCGCGCTGCACCTTGGCCAGGTCGCCGCCTGGCACCGTGGTGGGCGGCTGGTAGTTGATGCCAACCTGGGTTGGCACGGCGTGCCGGGGGGGAGGGGGGGGGGTGACAGGTGGACGGCGCAGTGGTTTGAGCGCTGCGCGATGAACCCAGCGAGTAGCCAATCGGAGGAGGACCAAGCAGCATCTTGTCCGACTGTGCGATCCACACGGAAATGGGGACTGCACTGCCGCCTCTCAGAGACCCCTTCCTTCACGCGCCGATAACCCCGCGGCGAGCGGCCAAGTCGCTCCGCAGTCGGGATGTTGCGTCGGCGGTAACCGCGAGACAAAGATAACATCGGTTATCGGATTGCCACACACGTAGAGATGTCTAAAGCAATAAACACAACCGTTTAGTATGCGTGTATGTTGAACTTCTTTTGCACCGTACGTAGCCAATCGTAACAATCGGAGGTGCGGGGGAAGGACCACAAACGGTTCTAAAGAAATGGGGTTTCAGCTACAAAGTTTGTAGCCGAGAAATGAAAGGACGCTGCCACCACAGCGGCGGCGTGACGGCCAGCGACGCGCCACGGGACGACGGCAAGTTTCACTGCGAGCATCCATCAGTGGCCGGTTCCCCCCTGACTTTCGATAACCGGCAACCGACCGGCACAGCGAAGTAACCCAGCCACAACCACGCCCGGGGCGGCGGCGGTACCTTAAAGCCGGTAGGGCACCAGTCGACGAACTGGATGGTGCGGCGCGTCTTGATGGCGGCGATGGCGGCGTTGACGTCCTTGGGCACGATGTCGCCGCGGTAGAGCACGCAGCAGGCCATGTACTTGCCGTGGCGGGGGTCGCACTTCACCATCTGGTTGGCCGGCTCGAAGCAGGCGTTGGTGATCTCGGCGACAGACAGCTGCTCGTGGTAGGCCTTCTCGGCCGAGATGACGGGCGCGTAGGTGACCAGCGGGAAGTGGATGCGCGGGTAGGGCACCAGGTTGGTCTGGAACTCGTTGAGGTCGACGTTGAGGGCGCCGTCAAAGCGCAGCGAGGCGGTGATGGACGACACGATCTGGCCGATGAGGCGGTTGAGGTTGGTGTAGGAGGGCCGCTCGATGTCCAGGTTGCGGCGGCAGATGTCGTAGATGGCCTCGTTGTCCACCATGAAGGAGCAGTCCGAGTGCTCCAGCGTGGTGTGGGTGGTGAGGATGGAGTTGTAGGGCTCCACCACGGCGGTGGACACCTGCGGCGCCGGGTAGACGGAGAACTCCAGCTTGGACTTCTTGCCGTAGTCGACGGAGAGGCGCTCCATGAGCAGCGAGGTGAAGCCCGAGCCCGTGCCGCCGCCGAAGCTGTGGAAGATCAGGAAGCCCTGCAGCCCCGAGCAGTTGTCGGCCTGCGAAGAGGACGCACATGCAACGGGTGACGTCATCATCGTCATCATCGGTCAGGTTCTAGCCACTGCCGGATGGAGGCCACCTGCCCCCACCCCACCCCGAGCCCCCATCGTCATCGCTCACGGTCACGCGACACCACGATCCGTCGAGCACCGGCGCGCGAGCCGATCTCGTCGCTCCGTCTCCGCGCTCCGTGTTCCCTCCTTAGTCTGTGGATGCCGCTCTCTGTTGTTTGTCTCGACTGGCGGACGCCGCCCCCTCCCTTCTAGCCGTGAGGAGGCCCGGCGCTGGCGATCTTTACCAGCGGTGAACGGTTACAGCACCACGATTCTGTCGACATACACCAATGTAGCGGGACAATTCTGGACAAATGTCATCACTGCTCTCGGCACTGAGATGGAAGCTTCCAATCGTAAACCTTAGACGGGGCTCGTGCTCTGTAGACACCCATCCGCTGCTGCTGCTGCTGGCGATTCTGATGCTCGTGCCGGTGCTGATGCTGGCATTGACGCCGATTCTAAAGCCTCCGCTGGTGCTAACGTTGTAGCCCACGACGGTGCCAGCGGTGGCACCGTCGGTGACGCCGACGCTGGCTACGACACCGCCACGGACACGGACCGTGCAACGGGTGCTGTGCGGTGGCATGCGGTATGTGGCACGTAGAAGTCGGCACGTGGTAGGTGCGTGGTAGGTGGCACGCGGTAGATGGCACGTGGAATGTGGCACGTGGTTAGTGGCACGTGGTAGGCGCGTGGTACGTGGCACGCGGTAGGTGGCACGTGGAATGTGGCACGTGGTTAGTGGCACGTGGTAGGTGGCACGTGGAATGTGGCACGTGGTTAGTGGCACGCGGTAGGCGCGTGGTACGTGGCACGCGGTAGGTGGCACGTGGAATGTGGCACGTGGTTAGTGGCACGCGGTAGGTGGCACGTGGAATGTGGCACGTGGTTAGTGGCACGCGGTAGGCGCGTGGTACGTGGCACACGGTAGGTGGCGCGTGGTAGGTGGCACGTGGTTAGTGGCACGCGGTAGGCGCGTGGTATGTGGCACACGGTAGGTGGCACGTGATAGGTGGCACGTGGTTAGTGGCGCGCGGTGCGTGGTAGGTGGCGCGCGGTGCGTGGTGGGCACCAGCTTGCGGATGCGGTCGAGCACCGGCTCCACGATCTCCTTGCCAACGGTGTAGTGGCCGCGCGCGTAGTTGTTGGCCGCGTCCTCCTTGGCCGTGATCAGCTGCTCGGGGTGGAAGAGCTGGCGGTACGCGCCCGTGCGGATCTCGCCTGGGCGGGCACACGGGCGGGGGGCAACGCGCACACGGAGTGGCCGCGGCCAGCAGAACATCTTGTGAGCGGCCAGATGATTGTCTTGCGACGAGTGCAAAGCTGCATCCACGTGACCTTGTGCCTGTCTCTTGTAGGGCGTGCGCTGTCTAAACAATGCGAGGGTTTGTGGGGGGCGATCGCCCACTTTACCACCCCCCCCCCTGGCCATCATAAATGATAGCTCAACGAAGTGGCTCATCATCATCATCATAATGCGGAAATTTATAGCAGTGAAATACTCTCAACGTGTGATGTTGATTATAAATGGTGAGGGAAAAGCTGGAGGATCCTGAGAAAAATCCACGCGACTACGAGGAGAGAGACACGCAGACTCCAAATATAGAGCAGGCGTAGTCAGGGTCAGGATCGAACCCACGAGCTCCCGTAGACCAGGGGAGGTAGTTAACATCTCCGAGCTACCGTGATGATGAGGGAGAGAGAGAAACGCAAAATCGAAATATACAACAGGCATCGTCAGGGTCGGGATTAAACCCCACGACCTCCTGCACACCAGGCGAGGTAGTTAACATCTCGCCCCTGTGGAGCTCTGCACTCGATGCAGTAAAAGCGGGAAGCAGGGCTTCCTCCTGCGGTTGCAGTCCGCCCCAGATGCTTCCTCCTCGAATCTCGCTCTCGCAATCTCCATGCAAATACCAACCCCTCCTGCCCACCCCGCAATTTATAATACCGTACCGATGACGGACGGCTCGAGGTCGACGAAGATGGCGCGGGGCACGCGTTTGCCGGAGTCGGTCTCGCCGAAGAAGGTGGACGAGGAGTCGTCCTTGGAGACGGGGGTCGTGGCGTCGAGGGGCCGCCCGTCGGGCCCGATGCCGTGCTCCAGGCAGTAGAGCTCCCAGCACGCGTTGCCCATCTGCACCCCGGCCTGGCCGATGTGCACGGAGATGCACTCGCGCTGTGCTCGGGGCATGGGGGGTAGGGGGGGGAGAGACGTGGGGAGAGACGTGGGGTGAGATGTGGGGTGATACGTGGGGTGAGACGTGGGGTGGGAAGTGGAGAGATGTGGGGTGAGACGTGGAGAGATGTGGAGAGAGATGTGGGGTGAGGTGTGGGGTGAGGCGCTGGGTGAGATGTGGGGTGGGAAGTGGAGAGAGATGTGGGGTGAGACGTGGGGAGACGTGGGGAGAGACGTGGAGAGAGATGTGGGGTGAGACGTGGAGAGAGATGTGGGGTGAGAAGTGGAGAGAGATGTGGGGTGGGAAGTGGAGAGAGATGTGGGGTGAGACGTGGGGAGACGTGGGGAGAGACGTGGAGAGAGACGTGGAGAGAGAATTGGAGAGAGATGTGGGGAAAGACGTGGAGAGAGAAGTGGAGAGAGATGTGGGGTGAGACGTGGGGTGAGGCGCTGGGTGAGGTGTGGGTGAGGTGTGGGGCGAGGCGCTGGGTGAGATGCAGCAGTACAGCCAACACTGGGAGGCAGTGAACCCGAAGCATGGGGTACTAACACCGCACCCCAAGAACCCCAACGTTGCCTTAATCTGGCTCGCTGAGCCATGGGCATGAGGACTGAACCCTAGACACGCTAAAGGTCGCCTCGTCTGGCCAGACGAGTTTTGATCATTGCCCCGTGAGCTTCCTCCAGGTGCCTCCGTCTGCCTCCACGAGCACAGTCACTGGGGCCGCATTGCCCCTACGCCTTGTGATGTCGCAACCCGCTGTGCGACACCGACTCTGCGGATGCTGAAACGCAGATTCCTGACCCACCCCGAGCGACTGGACGTCTGTGAACAAAGAGCTTCATAGCTCATCGGATTTCTCCTGCTGCAGTCTATAGCAAGAGTCGGATTCTGATTTGCGTGGCGTCAAAAGGCCGTGGCTGCCACTCGCACGGCCTGGGTGGGAAGGTGCTCCTCATCCAGCAGTGCATTCGACCAAAGCTAAGGCTAGGCGTGCAAAGACAACAAAGGCGAAGATCCCCCGTATAGCCTGTAACAGACTGTTGGGGCAAGTGCTGTAAGCGAGTAGCGTCTATGAAGGCCGGCACTGTGGCACACGAGGGGTGGGTGGCCAGCAACCACGCCCGGCTGCCTTTGTCTCCCCAGTGGCGATGTTTACCACACACCACACTAGGTACTCATTTGAGGCTGAGACGAGCTAGGGGAGGCCCAGGACCGGTTTAGGTAATCGTCACCGGGTTTTGGCCGTAATCGGGAATCGAACTCGGGCGGCCGGGTTCGTAGCGCGACGTGCCCGCACACTCACCGAAACCTCTGAAACAAATCATTGTTAATCGAACAATGGATTCACCACAGGGTAGCGCACGGACGAACCCTGATTAATAATACAAACTGATGCTGATTGATTATTGTTAATGAATTATTAATGAGTGTGAGCGAGCGTTCTCCGGGTCGTGTGGCGCTGTGGCCAGAGCACTCTCCTCGTAACTGGACGGTCATCAATTGAGCTCACATATCCCCCTCCCCTCCATACTCTCTCTGCAGTAAATAATATCAGCACTGTGTCCACTCAGTGCGGTCGTCTGATGCCGGCACTGCGCTCCCGGCCGTAGGAATGTGGAATTTCCATCACTGGCTCAGGGACCACAACCCGAGACAAGCACAGTCCCGACCCAAGCTTGTTGGAGAAGGCAGACGGCTTTGACTTTCATGTGCTGTGCAGCAGGTCCCTAACCCGAAACGTCGCCCATTATTTCTTTTCAGGACACAGCATAATTATTGACGCGTGTTGCCAACTCTGCCACCACAGCAGCAGCAGCAGCCTCATCGCCATCGCCACACAATGTGACTTTCATGTGCTATGCAGCAGGCCCCTAACCCGAAACGTCGCCCATTATTTCTTTTCAGGACACAGCATAATTATTGACGCGTGTTGCCAACTCTGCCACAGCAGCAGCAGCAGCCTCATCGCCATCGCCACACAATGTGACTTATAGCTGCTTCCTGAGATAAAAAAAAGATCTGGATAACTCATAATAAGCCTTGATGTACAGGTACCTTGGACTTCCTTCGCACCGTACGTAGCTAACCGCGCTATTCGGAGGCGCGGGGGAAGGACAACAAACTAAACACACACAAAAAATCAGTTCTAAAGAAATGAACGTTGATTTCAAAGTGCATCACAGCTCCAATGGCTTCCTAACAACGGAAGGGAAGAGCGTTCCAGACGGCCGCGGAAGCGCGCCTGAGAGCGCCGCGTGTCTGAGATGCGGTGACCGCCGCCTTTGTCCGATGGCGAGCAGCCGAAAGCCGCCGCTGCAGCTGCTGCTGCTGCCGCTGCTGCTGCAGCTGCTGTTGCTGCGAGGATGACGAGCGGGTGAGTTGGCGTGACGATGGTTTATAGCTCCTTTACGAGATGAGCAGCGAGCCCTTTCTCAATCCACTGCTGGATGATGGCCTCCCCCACACCGCGTTGACCAGGACCGGTTCAGATACGACTCGCCACTGATGTTAGCCGTGGCCGGGAATCGAACTCATGTGACCGCATTCGTAGCGCAATGCGCTAACAACCACCACCACCATCACCCGTGTAACCTCAACAGACCGTAGGGGCAAGTGCTGTTAGCGCCCGGCACCTATGAAGGCCGGCACGGCACACGAGGGGGCGGGTGGATAACACCAAGTTTGGCCGCCTTTGTCTCCCCGGTGCTGATGTTTACTACACACCGCGCCGGGTACTCATTTAAGGCTGAGTCAACCTAGCGGAGGGCGCCAGGACCGGTTCAAATATCCGCCACTTATTTATTGATTCGCCGTGAGCGGGAATGTATTTAGCCTGCCAGACGAACACCACTTCCCCAAATCGCATGGACGGTGATCTGCAATGCCACGCAGCCTGACAACTATAACACGCCACTGTAATTAAAACAACAATGCCATCCTTAGTTCAGCTCAGAGTCTCAAGACTCTTGTCAAGAGGTTGCTGCTACGCGAGAATCAGAATATGTCTTTTACTCGAGGAAGAATCCGATGAGCGATCAAGCTCTTTTCACAGATGTCCCGTACGTTGTGCTGCACATGCGGCTCACCATGTCGGCGGCTGTTGTTGTTGTCGAGAACCCTCGAGGTAGAGGCGGACGATTCCTGGACGTTCACAGGGCGAGCAGCAGACGGAGCGAGCCGGGGAGTCTCACTGTGGGGAGTTTCACGGCGTGACCCTCACCGCGTGACCCTCACCGCGTGGCCGTCTGAAGAGATCGAGGTGGATCAGGGCGGGAGTGGCTCGGTGCTGACCGTTTTATACCGCGAGTCGCGCACTGCACGGCCACTCCGTGGACTCAGGGTGGGGGCTCAGGGTGGGGACTCAGGGTGGGGGACTCAGGGTGGGGGACTCAGGGTGGGGGCTCAGGGTGGGGGACTCAGGGTGGGGGCTCAGGGGTGGGGGCTCAGGGGTGGGGGCTCAGGGTGGGGGCTCAGGGTGGGGGCTCACGACTCGCGAGGGGCGGAGACGCGGGCGGTGGAGAGGCACCAAGAGCCACAGCCCACACATTTACACAAAGACAAATATCCCCCGTATAGCCTGTGACAGACTTTGGCAGACTGTTGGGGCAAGTGCTGTTGGGGCAAGTGCTGCTGGGGCAAGTGTTGCTGGGGCAAGTGCTGTTGGGGCAAGTGCTGCTGGGGCAAGTGTTGCTGGGGCAGGTGCTTTGGGGGCAAGTGCTGTGGGGCAAGTGCTGTTGGGGCAAGTGCTGTTGGGGCGAGTGCTGTGGGGCGAGTGCTGTGGGGCAAGTGCTGTTGGGGCAAGTGCTGTTGGGGCAAGTGCTGCTGGGGCAAGTGCTGTGGGGCAAGTGCTGTGGGGCAAGTGCTGTTGGGGCAAGTGCTGTTGGGGCAAGTGCTGTTGGGGCAAGTGCTGCTGGGGCAAGTGCTGTGGGGCAAGTGCTGTTGGGGCAAGTGCTGTTGGGGCAAGTGCTGTTGGGGCAAGTGCTGCTGGGGCAAGTGCTGTGGGGCAAGTGCTGTTGGGGCAAGTGCTGTTGGGGCAAGTGCTGTGGGGAAAGTGCTGTTGGGGCAAGTGCTGTGGGGCGAGTGCTGTTGGGGCAAGTGCTGTGGGGAAAGTGCTGTTGGGGCAAGTGCTGTTGGGGCAAGTGCTGCTGGGGCAAGTGCTGTTGGGGCAAGTGCTGTGGGGCGAGTGCTGCTGGGGCAAGTGCTGTTGGGGCAAGTGCTGTTGGGGCGAGTGCTGTGGGGCAAGTGCTGTTGGGGCGAGTGCTGTGGGGCAAGTGCTGTTGGGGCAAGTGCAGTTGGGGCGAGTGCTGTGGGGCAAGTGCTGTTGGGGCAAGTGCTGTGGGGCAAGTGCTGTTGGGGCAAGTGCAGTTGGGGCGAGTGCTGTGGGGCAAGTGCTGTTGGGGCAAGTGCTGTTGGGGCAAGTGCTGTGGGGCAAGTGCTGTTGGGGCAAGTGCAGTTGGGGCGAGTGCTGTTGGGGCAAGTGCTGTTGGGGCAAGTGCTGTTGGGGCAAGTGCAGTTGGGGCGAGTGCTGTTGGAGCAAGTGCTGTGGGGAAAGTGCTGTTGGTGAGCGGCACCGATGAAGGCCGTCACAGCACACGAGGGGGTGGGTGGCCAGCACCACGCCCGGTCGCCTTTGTCTCCCCAGTGGCGATGTCTACACAATGCACCAGGTACTCATTTGAGGCTGAGACAACCTAGGGGAGGCCCAGGACCGATTGAGATAATCGTCACTGGTGTTGGCCGTGAGCGGGAATCGGACTCGGGTTGCCGGGTTGGTAGCGCAGCGCGCCGCGAGCCGCTGCCGCACTGCCGCTCCCCACACCGCGCACAAGGAGGCAGCAGCCTGAACCGTCGCGACAACTCCGGCCATCCTCGCAGTAGCAGCAGCAGCCGCTTTTGGCTGCGAACCATCGAACAAAGGCGGTGGTCACCGCGTCGCGCGCTTTCAGACGCGCTTCTGCGGCCGTCTGGAACGCTCTTCCTTCCCATATTAGGAAGCCACTGCAACTTCGCACTTTTGAATCATCGTCTAGGTTGACAAACGCATTTCTGTACAACTGCTTTTTGTGTTGACTTTGTTGTCCTTCCCCACCCGCACCTCCGAGTAGCGCGGTTGGCTCCGTACGGTGCGAAATACGTTCAACGCTCGCACGCACACGACACACACACACACGTGGCGCGCCCGCCAGGAGATGGAGCGGCTGATTGGCAGAGCGCCGCAGCACGGATGGAGCACTGCGATTAGAGCGGCCCACGACGACCAACGCCGCTTATCTCCCAGAGCAGAGCTTCGTGAACCCCGCTCCTCTCTCGGCGAGCGGTGGCGCAGTGGTGAGCGCACCACGCGATCCGAGTTGTAGCGCCACCCTGGGGAGAAAGCACGTGACGTGCCACAGCACATTAGGCCGTCAATGTATCATGATGATGATGATTCTTATCTCTCGTTAGAGAATTGTAACGAGATGATTTGGCGTTCTTCATCGCAGCGCCGTCGTTCGTGCAGATTGCATCTCTCACGGTCGCCGAGGGGCCCACAATTGTTGGTAGCGAACGCTACCAGGCAGCTAACACTAAAAGGTAGCTAACGCTACCAGGCAGCTAACGCTAAAAGGTAGCTAACGCTACCAGGCAGCTAACACTAAAAGGTAGCTAACGCTACCAGGCAGCTAACACTAAAAGGTAGCTAACGCTCCCAGGCAGCTAACACTAAAAGGTAGCTAACGCTACCAGGCAGCTAACACTAAAAGGTAGCTAACGCTACCAGGCAGCTAACACTAAAAGGTAGCTAACGCTACCAGGCAGCTAACACTAAAAGGTAGCTAACGCTACCAGGCAGCTAACACTAAAAGGTATCTAACGCTACCAGGCAGCTAACGCTACCAGGCAGCTAACGCTAAAAGGTAGCTAACGCTACCAGGCAGCTAACACTAAAAGGTAGCTAACGCTACCAGACAGCTAACACTAAAAGGTAGCTAACGCTACCAGGCAGCTAACACTAAAAGGTAGCTAACGCTACCAGGCAGCTAACGCTAAAAGGTAGCTAACGCTACCAGACAGCTAACACTAAAAGGTAGCTAACGCTACCAGACAGCTAACACTAAAAAGGTAGCTAACGCTACCAGGCAGCTAACACTAAAAGGTAGCTAACGCTACCAGGCAGCTAACACTAAAAGGTAGCTAACGCTACCAGGCAGCTAACGCTAAAAGGTAGCTAACGCTACCAGGCAGCTAACACTAAAAGGTAGCTAACGCTACCAGGCAGCTAACACTAAAAGGTAGCTAACGCTACCAGGCAGCTAACACTAAAAGGTAGCTAACGCTACCAGGCAGCTAACGCTAGAAGGTATCTAACGCTACCAGGCAGCTAACGCTACCAGGCAGCTAACGCTAAAAGGTAGCTAACGCTACCAGGCAGCTAACACTAAAAGGTAGCTAACGCTACCAGACAGCTAACACTAAAAGGTAGCTAACGCTACCAGGCAGCTAACACTAAAAGGTAGCTAACGCTACCAGGCAGCTAACACTAAAAGGTAGCTAACGCTACCAGGCAGCTAACGCTAAAAGGTAGCTAACGCTACCAGGCAGCTAACACTAAAAGGTAGCTAACGCTACCAGACAGCTAACACTAAAAGGTAGCTAACGCTACCAGACAGCTAACACTAAAAGGTAGCTAACGCTACCAGGCAGCTAACACTAAAAGGTAGCTAACGCTACCAGGCAGCTAACACTAAAGGGTAGCTAACGCTACCAGGCAGCTAACACTAAAAGGTAGCTAACGCTACCAGGCAGCTAACACTAAAAGGAAGCTAACGCTACCAGGCAGCTAACGCTAAAAGGTAGCTAACGCTACCAGACAGCTAACACTAAAAGGTAGCTAACGCTACCAGGCAGCTAACACTAAAAGGTAGCTAACGCTACCAGGCAGCTAACACTAAAAGGTAGCTAACGCTACCAGGCAGCTAACACTAAAAGGTAGCTAACGCTACCAGACAGCTAACACTAAAAGGTAGCTAACGCTACCAGGCAGCTAACGCTAAAAGGTAGCTAACGCTACCAGGCAGCTAACACTAAAAGGTAGCTAACGCTACCAGGCAGCTAACACTAAAAGGTAGCTAACGCTACCAGGCAGCTAACGCTAAAAGGTAGCTAACGCTACCAGACAGCTAACACTAAAAGGTAGCTAACGCTACCAGGCAGCTAACACTAAAAGGTAGCTAACGCTACCAGGCAGCTAACACTAAAAGGTAGCTAACGCTACCAGGCAGCTAACACTAAAAGGTAGCTAACGCTACCAGGCAGCTAACGCTAAAAGGTAGCTAACGCTACCAGACAGCTAACACTAAAAGGTAGCTAACGCTACCAGGCAGCTAACACTAAAAGGTAGCTAACGCTACCAGGCAGCTAACACTAAAAGGTAGCTAACGCTACCAGGCAGCTAACGCTAAAAGGTAGCTAACGCTACCAGGCAGCTAACGCTAAAAGGTAGCTAACGCTACCAGACAGCTAACACTAAAAGGTAGCTAACGCTACCAGGCAGCTAACACTAAAAGGTAGCTAACGCTACCAGGCAGCTAACACTAAAAGGTAGCTAACGCTACCAGACAGCTAACACTAAAAGGTAGCTAACGCTACCAGACAGCTAACACTAAAAGGTAGCTAACGCTACCAGGCAGCTAACACTAAAAGGTAGCTAACGCTACCAGGCAGCTAACACTAAAAGGTAGCTAACGCTACCAGGCAGCTAACACTAAAAGGTAGCTAACGCTACCAGACAGCTAACACTAAAAGGTAGCTAACGCTACCAGACAGCTAACACTAAAAGGTAGCTAACGCTACCAGGCAGCTAACACTAAAAGGTAGCTAACGCTACCAGGCAGCTAACGCTAGAAGGTAGCTAACACTACCAGGTAACTAACGCTACCAGGCAGCTAACACTAAAAGGTAGCTAACGCTAGAAGGTAGCTAACGCTAGAAGGTAGCTAACGCTACCAGGAAGTTAACGCTACCAGGCAGCTAACGCTAGAAGGTAGCTAACGCTACCAGGCAGCTAACGCTAGAAGGTAGCTAACGCTAGAAGGTAGCTAACGCTAGAAGGTAGCTAACGCTACCAGGCAGCTAACGCTAGAAGGTAGCTAACGCTACCAGGAAGTTAACGCTACCAGGCAGCTAACGCTAGAAGGTAGCTAACGCTACCAGGCAGCTAATGCTAGAAGGTAGCTAACGCTAGAAGGTAGCTAACGCTAGAAGGTAGCTAACGCTACCA